GCGCGTGGGCAGCTCTGCCGGGCCCCACGCACCAGGCACGGGGCAGACCCCACCTTGGCTCAGCAGCTGCCTGCAGCGGGCAGGGAGGCACCGGCAAACACCGACCAGAAGATCCAGAGCTGGTTTTACTGCTGCAGTCGTTCCCAGTCACGAAAAGACAATAGGAAGAGACGAAGTTGATAATTTCTAGCATTATTTTTCCACTATTAAAATGTCATTCAGCAAGGTGGAAATCACTCAGGATTTGTTTAGTTAAAGACTCTGCTCTGCGGTTTTCCAGCACATGGAAAAAAGCTGGTTTGGCCTCTTGGAAGCGGTGCTCGGCTGCGGGGGATCGCGTCACCGGGACCAGCGTGCCTGCCGCCCCTCGGCCCGCTCTCCTGTGCCTGCTGTCCCCTGCGGGTCCCACTGCCAGCAGATTTCAGGTGCCTTTCTACAACAGCGGCCCTTGTGCTCACCCTCGGGAGCTCCCCGAGCTCCTGCCAGATGCCGAACCCCACTTTGCAATCGCCAGAGGAGTAGAGAGACCGAGCTGATACCCCGGCTGCTCCCTGTTCACCAGCAGCGGTCCCGTCCCGGGTGACCTGATTCCAGTCTCAGCCTGTTCATTAACTCCCAGTGCCATTATTAAATTCACACTGGATATCCACAAACTTCCAGGCTAGTTTTGGGTGGAAGGTGTGGGGACAGGAGGGTGCGTGGAGCCATCCTGGAGCCCTCTGGCCGCAGCTGGGGTAGGGTCAGGGGCAACCTTGGGATTCCTCCGTAGTGAAAGAAAGGCAACAAGTCAAGCACTGGACAGGGCAGCGGGCTTCTGAGGTCCTTCTGACCCGTCCCCAAGATCCCCTTTTACTTTGTGACATTCGTTGCCATCTGAAAAAAAAACAAGGAATAAAAGAGAAGCAAAGCTTCTGGCCCCTGCGAAGCAGTAAAGTGGATCCGAGAAACAATGACCCTCATGTGGCTTCTCTCCTGAATCGCTGCCCTGTTCATTGAATTAGCTGCAGCTGAGCAGCCAAAAATAGCCCCTTGCAAAGGTAAATAGTCAGCATAAGCCTCTTTAGACTCGGCCTGGAGCTGACACATCCTTCTGCCAGGGGGAAGGGGAGCGGGTTGAGCAGGGAAAAAAAGAAAACAGTCCTCGCTCCTGGCCGCGGTAACGCTACCTCTGTGATCCCAGCAGGGAACCCGATCACCTGCATCTGGAAAGCCAAGGAGAGGGGGGTGAGCCGCACAGCCCAGCCCCTCCCGGGCCGGGGACTGGGCCATGCCCACCCGCCCGCACCCCTTCCATCGGTGCCTGGGCTGCTGTTGGGCACGGGGGGAGCGGGGAGCGCGGCCCTGCACCGTCCCGGGGCCGCGAGGAGGCAGCCAGCCGCCCCGCGCGTGGCCGCACGGGAGGGATCGATGAAACGGCTTCGTTCGTCCCCAGCATTAAGCACGCGGGCGGCCAGGGCCCCTGGAGCGGCGGCGGGGCAGCGACGCTCAGCCAAAGTGCTGCCGGAGCCTCCGGCGCTGGGGGGGCATTTGCCTTTGTGAACTGGAGCAGGGAGGCAGCCGGGGTAGCTCGGGCTGGCGTCCCGGGTGCGGGTGTGTTTGGACACGGCTGTTTGGCTCTTGTGTTCAAGGGACGCTGCCTGTCAAAAGAGAAATTACAGTTCACGAGAACAAAGAGACTCACCTGAGTTATTACAGGCACCAAAGAATTTAAAACCCAACTTAGCTTGTCCCCCGTGGGCTGGCTGATTAATCCCCATGTCTCTCCGCTTGGGTCATAAAAATAGACCGGCTGTAGTTCACGGTCACGTCCTGCTCCAGGGCGCTGGCCCGGCCCTGCCCCGCGAGTGCCCAGCGCTTTGGGGAAGGCTCCGCGTGCCGTTTACTGCTCTCATTTACACGTTTAGAAACAAAGGGCACGATGAGGTTTCCCACCACCTGGGAAGAAAAGCGGAGGCTGGGGGGAGCCCCCAGCAGCACCGGGCTCAGCCCCCTGCCCAGCCCTTCCCCAGGCTGAGTTGCACCCCAAAAGCTGCCGGGTTCCCCCCTTTCCCCTCTCTCCGTAGGCTGCTCCAGAACCAGGTTGCTCTAACTGCAAGGCTGGAAATTTAAGAGGAAGCTCCTTAAATATTTCTGTGGCCAGTTTCGCTGCAGTCTGCTCTTCAGCCAAGGGCTTCAGCAGCATCCAAGCACTCAAAGATCCCTGCTCTTTGAATGGAGTTCATTCCTTCTTCTGGTTATGAAAGGCAACCCTCTCTTAGTTTGAGCTTAAAAAGGGCTTTGAAAAATAGTTCTGCTGTGAAGGTCTGGGCTACCCTGCTTCAAAACCTACCCAGGTCACAGAGCTGGGCTCTGGCCCCTGGCCTCCCCTCGGCCGTGCCTGCTGCCGGGCCGGGCTTTTCACCGTGTCCCGCATCCCCCACGGCGGGTGTATGCGGTCCTGGTTCACTTTCCGCCTCCCCAGACTGAAGTTTTCTAAGAACAAAGCAGGATCTTTTCAGAGCTTCTCTCCTGCCCGCTCCTCGCAGCCGGGGGCCATCACCGCTGCTCCCGGCCACCGTGCCCCACAGCTGCACTGGTGGCCTCTGGGGCTCCCCCCCGCCGGCCGATCCAACTGCGGCTGGGCAGAGTGCGAGGCTGATCCCCTGAAGTGGTCAGCCAGGGGATCAGACTTTTTCCTCACGTTTCGTAGGGTTTCTGCCTTCAAAAAACCCAATTTTTAGGCGATTTCGATGCTGTAGTCTGGAAATTGCAGTGTGGTCAGGCAGTGTGTGCGGGGCTTTAACTGCTGAGACCTCGTGCCCAAGCGTGCAGCAGGAGCTCCAGGACCGCAGCGCCAGCCTCAGACGGGTT